TCAATGTACCCTGAGACTTGCCTATATTTTTGAAAGACATCAGCTGTTCTGAACTCTTCAAGTGCTCCTTCAGCATTATTTCAATATAAAAAATGAAGTTTTTCCAGTGAGAACAATCAATTGCTGGTACAACCTCCAAAGTGCAGCAGTACAGTCCTCAGCACTGGATATTTTCAAGACACAACTGGACACGCTTCCTTTCCCACAAAAGGCTGGACCAGATGATCTTTTCAGGTCTCCTTTTAGTAACGTTACCCTTCAGTTAGGTCTCTAAGTGACTGCACTTTCTGAAGTTAATGACATATCTTTCAGACAGTGTCTGCTTCTAGAATTGATAAAGCTTGATGTTTATAGTTCCTACTCAGGTATAAATGGTATGCCAAAAGGTTCTTATTTATACTTAATCCTATAGAAACGAAGGTGACTGCTAAACTTCTTGTGTCTTAAGTGAAAGGGCGTAACAGGGTCACACCTGTAGGGAGAAGCAGACAGGACAGGTGACCCAAAACTGACCAATGAAGTATTCTGTCCCATACATATACTCAGTATAAAGCCAAAGGGTCCTGAGAGTCATCTTCTTCTCTTCCATGGCCAGCATCTGTCCATTCTTCTGCCTTGAATTTCAACCCATGCATTCTTGAGTTTAGTTCCCATCTTCTGAGTCCAGTCTGAGACTTTCCCAGTGTCTGTCCTGCAGCAGCAGTGATGTGTCATCAGTGGAGCTCAATACTTGTTTTGTATATCTTTATTTCATTCTTTTCCCATTAATCTCATTATACCTTTTTTTACATTGTTACTGTTTCCTTAAAACTGTTTCATTTTTTTCCAACCCGTAAGTCTCTCTCCATTGTTATCTTGCCCTTCCCTTTCTCAGAAGGGAAAAGGGTTGTTAGCACCACACCTTTGACAGAAGCATTTTTCCCTCAAACACTAGACTTCTTCTAGATAAGAGGGTTTTAAAGATACTTGTTTCCCCATTCATTTTTTATTTTAGAAATGCCAAAAAATACCATTACTAAAAAAACAAACCAAACTTACGCACTGGATCGTCCATGGAGAAGCAAACATGATTAGATCCTAAATGTAGTCTGTGAAACTCAGTCAAGAACTACTGTTTGGTCATCAGCTGCCTCTAGCTTAAGCTTCTTTGCTTTTAAGTTAGAGCCACAGTTAGGCCGTTTCTGGTCCTGTGACTTCTTCACCACTGAATCTTGAACAGTCTTTGAAATAGTCTGTGCATTTTCTCTCCTTCCTTTTGAATTCAAAGGTTTGTCCTGTAAGTTATAAAGAATTCCATTAAAATTCTCACACTTTTTCTTCTTTTTCAGTATTTCCACAGAAGAGATAATATAATGAAGTTCATTTTACATCCTGCTGATTGCATTACTTTGAAAAATATATTGAGTAGATATCAAACTATTAAATAAACTATAGTGAAAAATACAGAGCAAGTCAGTACAGAAATAAATACCTTGTAAACACTTTTCTTGTTTGTTATCCCTTCTATAGTGATGACGTGGGCCTCATTAGTCAGCAGACCTGCTTTTGGTCCTATCTTCAGGTAAGATATTGTTGAAAATGCCGTGAAGCTGAAATCTTCCCTGCATGAATTAAATCAGTGTTAGAAGAAGCAGGTTGGAGACAAAGACAGGCTATATCGTGCAGGGGAAAAAAATTGAATACGTCAGCACTTCTCATGGATGTTCCACGTAGTAGCTTGATTCTGCTTTATCTACTCAAGTGGATAGTCACTTTAGAGCAAGTCTGGCCAACACTTAACATAGTTCTCTTTGTGGAACTTTACACACCCACATGTCAATCTGTTGGAATGCATGGAGGAAAATGAGGGGGAAAAAAATGCAGTAAGTCATCTGCACACCCTGTTAAAAGTGTAAGAAGTCAGCTGTACAAACTGATGAAAAAAAAAAAAGACAAAAATAAAGGGACTGTTTCATCTGTACATACTCTTGGAACTTCTAAAACTACATGAAAAGACAAAACACATCCCATACAGCCAGCCAGGTTACAAGAGAAGCACTGCTGTTATTTTCACTATGCTTTTTACAATTTCAGAGTATCACCTTCCACATTAGCTGATTTACACTTCATCTGGGCAATCCCATTTGCTTTGTTAACCATGAAATGCAGATTTCTCTAAGAATGAAGCCTGCTGCAACCTGAATACAGAAGACCCCAGCTTTTTCAAACTGCAAGAGATGCAGAAGTTAAATTGTTCCTCCAAGTCCTGTTTTAACATTTACAAGTAGAAACACAGTGATCTTTTGCAGGTTTTTTAAATATATCTAAAATAAAGGCTAAAAATGAGACTACAGAATCTATCCATTAATGCTATTTTGAAGTAACACAAGAATAAAAAAATTACTACTACAGGTTAAAAAAAGTAGTCATCACTGTACATACTTCAGATACTGCTGGAGCAGTAAGTGGGCAATAATTCTCTCCAGTTCCTCTCGAGGGTGCTTTGGTGGAGTAACTTCAGCCACCCTCAGCTTTGATACACCTTTCCCAGACCATGCATCGAGTAATTTCAGTGGGGTGAGTTTCTCACTCATGTTTTCAGCTTTCTCAAGTATCTTGATTAAATCTCTGCAGTATCCTGTTATATCCATTTTCTCAGATGCTACAAATAAAATGGAAGTAATATTTAAACAGCAAGTTATTTCTAGTTATTTGGATAGTATCCATATATATATATTAGGTATATACATATATATCCACTTTTATATATTTATAGGTACATATGTGTATCTTTAAATACATATCTATGTGCTATATAATAGCAAAGCTTTGGTTTTAAACTATAACTTAATAAAGCTGTAACTTCCACCTTGTCAAATTAGGATATATTTGTACTCAAATTTACATTTATTTCTATTTCATTACTAAAACTCCCATCCTGCAAACATGTATTTTCTATGTATTTAACATTACAAACCACACAAATTATTTCAAAGAACCATTTAAGAAGCATAAAATTTGTAAAGTAGCTACTCTGTTACTCTGTTACTCTACAGCTGGGTTAGTGTTCCTCACCCACAATATTTATTATGGGAATATTAGAGAGCAAAGAGGAATTGAAGAGTGTGAGACATTTCTTTTCTCAAGAGACTTACAGAAAAAATGAGACAGAAAAAAAGTATTAATTACACAAATTAGCTTCAACATGATTAATTATTCTGAGTGCTAACACATCCATGTAGTGCCTAGTGACCTTTATTCTACTGCCTAATCAGATCATGGCATCTGCATCCTGCAATACTGAGAATTAAACACTGAAAAACTACTACTACTGTCAGGTTTCCTCAGACCTTGCTTATATATTGCCCTGGGGGTACAAAAGGAGTAAACACGATACATTTCAACTATACTTCATCATATGGCTCCTGTAAGTATTAGGTACCTCTGATCCCAGTATAAATTTCATCCAACTAGAAAACAGTAAGGCATTTCTACTTGTGTGATTTTTGCACAACAGTTCCATTATATAGATATAACTACCTGTTTAAAGGAAAAAAACAGTTAAATATATTTGTTTTGTCTACTTTGCCCCCTCAAAAAAAATACAGGGAAATAAAATCTAGTTATGTAAACACGTTTGAAGACAGAGTTGTTCTTAAGTTTCTCAAGTGCTGATCACTACATTATCCAAATACTTTGCACATAGTTGTGGTATGAGGAGACGGTATTTACTACATATTAAAAAAATTCCCTTGGTCCTCAAAGAAATGTAAGGTGATTTTGTGTGTTCAGTTAGAGATGACTCGGGCCAATATTTTTCTCAGCACTCTTTTCAGAGCTTTCTATCTTTGTATGGGATTTTCTTTATCTAATCCAGAGCTCTCACTCAGTGAGTACAGCAAGAGGAAAGTTTATGCATCTTCAGAGACTTCCCACCTTCTGGATGGGTACCAAAAATGGCAGTTAAAGCAGTCTTCAATCACCCATGCAATGTGTTATTTAAGCTAGCGACGCAACACTGCCCAAGATGTTTGTAGGCAAAGCAGCAAAAGAACTTCTCTCCCAGAACTGTGTTCTACTGAAAACATCCTCCTTCACCATGCAGCAGGTCCTGCTTCAGTTCATCTCCCAAGTTCCCTCTACATCTGGCTTATATGCCTTCCCTCTTATGATCCCAAATTTCTTGTGAAGGAAGAGCACACACTAGACAGACACTGTGCTGTTGGGATCAACACAGCAAAGTCCTGAATTAGCATGTTCCATTGTTCTGCGTAACTGTCATGCACAGTCCTGACACAGGTAAGTCTCATGAGCACACAGCACTGAAATCCTCAGAGATTTTACCAGGCAAGTTGTAAAAGGCTGTGGTGCCAACTGTACCTTCTCAGAGGCTAAGTGTGAACAGTTTGGCATACAGAGAGCAAGAGGAGTCTTCTCAAAAATAAAGCTTTTACACCCCAAAACAATCCTGAAACAAAACTTGACACATACCAGAAACTTTTTAAAACAAGTAAGCCAATCTCCACCTTGCCCCAGCATGACTTTTGGGAACAGAAGAACAGTTGAGCCTTAAAGATACAGAAGTGTTTAGCCTCAGGAAAAAAGCAAAACCAGGAAGCATCCTGCTCAACACCCTGAATTGGGCGACACTAAGCCAATGAATATTGATGCTCGTAACAAAACCTGAACCTTGGAAAAAGGTATTTCTTTAAGCCAACCTTCTCACTGTTTTCTGTCCTTGGTTATAAAAACAATTTACTTACAGTTCTCTCTACAGCAGTTATCACACATTCTGTTGCAGTTTGCAGAATCCCATACTTCATCAAAATGATGGGCTATAAGGACCCGGCGACACCTGAAAGAACAGACAGCAAAGATGGACTGTAGAACATAAATGCATACACCTGTGTCATAAATCATGAAAGTGACAAAAAGAAGGTCACCTGGGTCAGATCATACTGCAAAACAAGCACAAAGAATGCAACACAGCATTCCCTGCCAATTATGGCAATAGGAGCAACTATTAGCTTTCAGCAATAGTAAACACTGCTGTGGGAACAGTTTAGTTAAACAGAAAAGCATAATGTGCAATCCCAATAGAATGAAAAATCTGAAGAATATGAACCAATTCTTAGACTAAGGCCAAAAAAAAGCTATAATGAATGCACAAGTTCTCCACAACATAGATAGAAGTGTTTTCCATGATGTATTCAATACAACTCAATGCAGCAGATCTAAACACATGTGGATTCCTGGTTGGCCAGCAAACTTTAGTATCTTAAGAGTAAAAAAAAAAAAAGGATTGCAGCTTTTACTCTGAATGGGATTTGAAATCCAAACACTGTTTGTTGACAGATATTTCACCTCAACACAAGTGCTTCCAAAACGTTATTCTGAAGCTGGCAAACAACAGACCAACACTGAGTTATGTGCAAGAGCACACATACTGAGCAGTCACACCACAAAATCCAGACTCAAGACTCTCACAACACTAGTGTTTCTATAGTGTGTTGGGGGTTCTTTCTTTTTTTGGGGGCGGTTATTTTTTTTTCTTCCTTAGGTACTTTTTTTTTCTTTTAAATAGACTCTACAAAACCCAACAAAATTAGCCTATTTAAAAATTAAGCAACAACTTACTTGTTCATATTCTGGCAGTAAGACACCATATCATACAGCTTCTCTTGCCCTACATTTTCCATCACTACCATTGAGCTGATTCTGAATATATCTCCAAAACCATAATACAAAATACAGTCAGCTTTTTGGTCATCTCTGCCTGCAATGCATTAAAATAAACAAAAAATTTAGGCTTTAAACTTTAGAAAAATTTACTTTAAGCATACCATTTTCTGGTAAAAATTCCACTCATCTGCATGGGCTTCTGCAGCCCCTATATGGAGAGTGCATGACTGTAATAAAACACGAAGTATAATATATTAGCCAGTAAATAACACAATACAAATCAGAAATAAAATAGGTTGAGAACAGTCTTCTACAACTATAGAATCAAGCAAACTGAAAATACTACATAACAAAGATTTTGACACTTTTAACAACTAAAATAAAACATTCACATTATACAGAAAGTCAGAGAAAACACCACTTACTCACCCTAACACCTTTTGGAAAATCCTAGCCAACTACTTGAAACCTAATCCCTATTTGAATAAAGGACACTGCGAGCCTCAAATACCTTATTAGGTATTAATGGTAATACAGAGGTAATTAGATATGACTTAACAAATTATTCCATTTAAAACCAGCAGTCTTCTACCGCTGAACTTAGATCATCTCTTCCTTCCCATTGCCCACCCTTTCCAATGTGTTGATGGGTGCCCTCCTGCCGTTTACAAGATCCATAGAGCAGAAAAGGTTTCACATGTAACAGAAAGGAACTACTTCACTTGGATGGGCAGTCAAGGGGCAAAAAGAAGGTTTCATAATCTAAGTAGTACTTTCAGGAAAAGGGAGTAGCAGTGCTTAATTAATCACCTGCCCAGAAGAATCTCATTTAAATTGAGTTATGAAAAAGAGTCAAAAGCTTGCTCGAATCACTGCAAGTCCATAGACACTGTGAAACAACTGTTTCAGCACCTATGTCTCTAGCATAAGCAGATGCAAACTCCCAGAAAATTTGACAACTTCTGTTTTTCTTAGGCTAGCTTTAAGACCAATTTCTATCATACAGCCCTAGTTAAAATCCCAATTAATTGCCTCTCAGGGTCCTTAAAAAGCTTTTCCCCCGCATACATTCAAATCTGTCTTCAAAAAAGTATAATGCAAAAGGTCAAAAAAACATAAGCAAAGCATCACAAAACATTTTTTTATCGTAACAGCTATTTAGTGTTGCTACACATTAGCCAATCCTGAAAATTGCCAGCTCTAGACTCCTCATCCTACTTGTATTTCTGTGGCCACTAAAATTCATACAGCACTTAGTCACCATCTAGAGACAACTCATGCAAAGCATGCATCCCAGCTGTTATGCAAAGAAAAATAGAAAATCCTTTTTGTAACATGTATCCCATTAATGTCATGTTATGAAATTATTCTAGTAAGCCACAGACGTCACTGATATCAAGTAATAAAAAGAAGAAAAAAAAAAAAGCAAAGTGAAGTGCTAGGTGCTCAGTTATTCTTTCTACACTGCAGGACAGAGGCCTGAGATCATTAACTCGGGTTTGCTTTAAAGCATTGTTACAGAGATTGAGTGGCATTATACAATTTAGAACCTGTCCCAAAGACATGACACTGCACAAATGGCTGAAATCACAGTACAATTGTACTGCTTTAGCAGATGTAGCTAGCTACTTTGCAAAAGCCATTTCCTACAATACCTGCACGTCCGCTCTCTTGGTAGTAGTTCTCCATGGACTTACTCATAGAATGATGAATTACAAACCTCACATCAGGTTTATCAATTCCCATGCCAAAAGCAACAGTTGCCACTACAACCTGAAATAAGATTAAGAAACCATCAAGGTGCGAAAACACAACTTGTTTAAATGAGATACGTCTAAGAAAAGTATCTGCTTTACCTGGATTTGATTTGCTGCCCATCCTTTATGAACTTTGGTCTTATATTTAGCATCCATGTTTGCATGGTAAGTGCCTGCTTTGATTCCCAGTTTCTGCAAACTCACAGTAACTTGCTCAGAATCTTTCTGAGAAAAACAGTAAACTATTCCTGCACAAAAGTGAAAGATGCCTTATTGTATCATCTTAAAAAAACCCAAATAATCTCCAATATTTAAAAACAACTCTGCAAGTTTTATTAACTTGAGCATAAGTAGATTTAAAAAAATAAATCTTTGTGCCTATTCAGTCTGCAGTATTGTAGCCAGGAATGGAACTTCATTTATCAGTTGCGACTTGAAGGCTAAGGAGAAAATATGGCTGCCAATCCACATAATCACAGAAGTATTCTGTTAACGTCCAAAAAGGACAATCGTTACTAGTGCTTATGGAAAGGGCTGCTGTTACTTACGACATATACACCTCACCTGAGGTTTCAGATAAATCTGCTTTTTGTTATTAGTCTGTCATGGTAAGTCAAGGATTAGACACAAACCCACGCAATTTGTGATCATCTTAGCACAGTTTGTACTCAGGGAGCTGCTCAGCACAGCCACGGAGCTCCACAGCAGAAACAAGGGCAGACTGCTGCTCTGGAAAACAGAGTTCTGTTGCCTTTGGTAACATGGCTCTCCTCTATTTGCAGTACATCATTTACTGATTACACAAAGTCCAACTTTTACAGTTCTGCATTCGTTACAGAAGCACAATTCATCCCACAACACACCCGTGCTGGGCACAGAATAAAATCACGAATCTTATGATCAAATATGAAAATGTAGTTTTAGAGACAGTAAGTATCCTGGCACCAAGATATTAAATAGCATATGTATCATCTAATAACAAAGAAACCTTTTTTGAGCCTTGTTTTTACAGTCTTAAAAATTGCTATTATTCTTATTTATGTAAGAATTGTTCTATACACATCAACATTGTATTTCAATACTTCAGAAGATCTAAGTAGCTTATAAAGACATTTAAACACTAATGACTGAATAGAGTAATTATTCCAGGTATGAATCTGAACAAATTTCATTTGTTTTTATGCTGGATACTTAATGTATGGTGAAAGTACAATTTCTCTACACATTTCAGGAGCACTTGAAAACATGCCTATAATACTGAAGATTATAAAAACTTTTTTAGATATACTTTTTACCTGAAAGTCCTTTGTATCTTCCATTAATGATCTTAACTATGTCCTCAATGAAATCTTCATTATTTGAAGGCTTATGTCGAACCTTAAAAATGTAATAAACACATGCCAGAGTGTTTTTAAGTGGGCACACAGTCTAACAAATGATCCTATTATTCTACTTCTACCACTACAATAAACAACTATTCTGCCATTTACCCAAAATTACTAGATTTTCTTTGTGTGGTTAGATTACATCTCAAAAGTCCATAGAAAAAAAGTGTCCAAGTTTTTCCATGAAGAGCAATTAAAAAAGCTGTGGTCAAAATGAAAACAGAAGACAATATGACTGCAATGCAATCATTCAAACAGGTAATAAGACATACCTCATAGTAAAGATTGGGTCTGTTGAAAGATGCAGTAAAGGTAATGCACTTCTGAACATGCAAAATTTTCTGAGCGTCCTTTAAAACATGATTTGTAGCTGTTGCTGTCAATCCAATCAAGGGAGTATTGGGAAACTGTCTTTTCAGGATACCAAGAGACTTGTAATCTAAGCAACAAAAGAAAAAGGGAAAAGAAAAAGATTTGTCATACCATGGATCCAGAGTTTAGGAAGACACTAATGTAGACAGCAGTCAATTGGGTAAATACTGCAATAAAAGTTATTACTGATCAACTGACTACAGAACTAATTTATACATCCAAATGAAGTAATACATTTCCTGTACTTGTCAAAATAGATGTTTTCTCTTCTAACCGAATTTCACAGAAGCAGCCACAATGCAGAAGGCAAAACATATTGAAATAGAAGTTCTTCAAAAGTTAGAAAAGTGAAAGTGGTATCACACCAACATTCAAACATTCAGGTTATTTTGCAGGTTTGCTTTTACAAATGGATTTTCATAAACAATCAAAGTGGAATTTGGATACATACACCAGACTATACTAAAGAAAGATTTTAAAGGCTCAGTGCTGATAATAATTTGCTGCCTTAGAACAGATAATCAGACAGAGGTATATAACCAAATTCCACACTGCTTGTTCAACTGGCATGGCTTCTTGCTCAGACACCACATTTAAACAAAACTGCAAAGGCTGACTTTACAGTTACTGTTGTTTTAAATCTTTATATTCTTTAAAATTTTCTTTCAAAGGCAAAGTAACAGTACCCAGTCAGTAACAGTTTTCTACAATAAATGAGGTAAGAAACAAACCAAAGCACACTTTCCCTGCAAATCAAGGCACATATTTTAACTGCTTCTAAAGCAAGTTGAAACACATCTCATGAATCTACAAAACGCTCTACTCTGCCAACCAGAGGGTCAGGGAGCAGTGTACAGAATTATACTTTTTCATGTAGCAGTAGATTAAAGATGACTGTATTGTCCATATTAAAGACAGCAGTCAAAAACTTTAATTTTAGTAAGTTCCAGTTAAGGTAAACTGATGTAGGAGTTTCTCAGAATACTGACAGCGCTTGGCCCCATTTGCATGAGCTTAGCTCCTGGACAAAGATACAGTAATTCTGAATTAAATTCAAAGTTCTTGAGCTAACATAGGTATTTACCCTACAGAAAATATTTACTTAACACTCAAAGAAAGCACTTGGCTTTATTTCAGGGCTAACTAATTGTTACTGATGCCTGAATAACACTGTAAACTGGATTTCTACAGAGCATACCAGGCCTGAAGTCATGGCCCCACTGACTACAGCAATGGACTTCATCTACAGCAATGCGAGCAAGACATCCGGTTTGATAAGCTTTCTCTAGCTTTGACATGAACATTTTGCTTTTTGCAATCTTCTCTGGGGTCACATAAATCAGCTTCAGCTGCGAATTTCTGTTTATCATCTCAGTATGAACCCACTTCACATGTTCCTGTTCAAAACAAAAGGAGAAATCAGGGGTTAACAGACTAGGACAAGTCACTGAAGTTGCTTAGTGCTAAAATTCTTTAGAGGGTATTAACAATTCATAAGGGGTAATTAAGAGAGACTCGAACTGCTACATAGTATTTAGCACTACTGCAAGTCTTCCCAGAAGACCATTATACACAAAATTTAATGTTAATACTTGGAAAATCTGTCTTGGAACTTTGAAAAAGAAAACTGTTGAATATTTGTCTTAGCTTCATCATGTGGTTTCATTATTGTCCCAATAAATTACATGTACCAAACATGCCCATGGTACTACAATGGTAAAATAATTTCTCACACACAATAGTAATCTTCTTTAATTTTCAAAGTGCTCTACTTCAAAGAAGGTTTCAAGGTTTACACAATGCATCAAGCCATTAATGTATCAAATCCAGTGTCATGTGCAAGTTAATGACCATGGCCTCCTGGTAGACAGGAAAATACATTTCACTGTAAAAAGTAACTGACTAATAACAGACTGGGAGATAAGTTGCTTCTCGGCCTCTGGATCAAGCAGCTTATTATCCAAAAGCAAGATAAATGATCCTATGTAAAAGCCTGCACTGCAATGATAAATGATAAATGATAAATGATCCTATGTAAAAGCCTGCACTGCTCAACATGTTACTAGTGGGTAGAAATTACCTACTCCAATCTTAAGTTTAGCAACTGAGTAAAAATCTACAACACACATTAGCCAAAGGTACTTCACATCCTCTAAATAGTTCCATGAAATCTATTTATTCCATGAAAGGTATTGGCTTACATGGGTTCTTGTCATTAAAACAAGAACACAAGATACTTATTCACATTATTTGTATTGCAGTACATAGCTGGCAAGATATTGTTGACAGAATGGCACTACCTGATAAAACTGCCACACATTTAGTATTCGTAAATAAGAGGTAAGACACCAGCACATACACAACAAAAGCATGAGCATTTGGCAGTTAAACATACCTTACTGCTTGAGGCATTTAATAAAGTTGCAGAAATACCAAGCTGTTCCAAAACCATGAGCTGATCTTCCATAAGTGATATTAAAGGACATATTACCAGCGTGAAACCTGTAACAATCAATCATTGTGCAAACTGAACAATTCAGATGTCACAAATAACTCTTCTAGTAACGTTTTACTGATCCATCAGCCCTGTTCCAAAGGAACTGCCAAAGAGGAGCTTAAGCTTCATACACAGTAGCAGATTCCCCTCCTAGGTAGCTGGTGAGTGAGTGCTAGGTCACAAAATACCTCTTATCAACTGCCTATGACATAAACCTTCTCTTAGAATCTAGAGCACAAAAAACTGAGCTACAACTGAGTATAAGAACTAATAAACAAACCAAAGAAAGTTGGACTTAAACGTGTCCTGAGGTGCTAATTTACCATACAACTAAGCAATGTTAGGTATTGGCGAGTTTGCTCTGTTAACAAGAAAAATTCCATGCAATAGGATGTGTTATTTTTCAAAAAAAGCTTAAAAACTAAAACTAGATACCTAAAAAAAATTTAAAAATACACAAATTATCTCCCAAATCATCTTAAGCTAAAACTTTAGTGGAAGAGAGAAATAATAGATATCCCAAGTTTAATAATTTACGGTCTGTGTATCGAATTAAAAGGGAAAGAAATATACTAGTGACAAACTTTTAAAAAGTTCTTTCAGTGTTTAATAACACAACATTTTGAAAGGAGCCTAGATATATTATTTATATCAAAATCACACCAAAGAGGCATATCTATTTTGAAGCTGCTATTGCATCTTCAGAGAAAATAAGAGAGCAAAGGAAATACTTTTGGTAAATCTTTATCTCATATATTTGCTCTTTTCCCCCAATACTGTGATTTTAGATACCAATATAATGTTCATTTTCCAAATAACTATAAAAGGGAGAAAAACATATCCAATTGTTTGTATATGACCTTTTGTTACCCTACATACCATCAGAACAGACAGCTGGTAACTGGTAGCAAAGGCTCTTTCCACCCCCTGTAGGCATCACAAGAAAAATATCCTTTCCTGACATTGCAGCATTTACTGTTTCAAGCTGCAAGGACCTAAACTTCTGGAGTTTAAACTTGTTCTGCAATGCAGTTTTTATCTTCTCATACCATGGAAAATCTATAATGGGGAAAAAAAAAAAAAATCAAACATGTTTCATATTTCATAACCAAGTTTGTAAGAATGTAAGAGGGAAGGGTAATTTACACAAACAGTAACTAGATCTAGAAGCACTATAATTACAGATCTGGGCAAGTGTTCAAAGACTCAATAATGGCACACAAAAAACTACAACTTAGTCTGTATAAAGTAATTTCTAAGGTGAACTTTTGAAAACCCTATGAAATGTACACAATATCCACCTGCAGACTAAAGGCTCCCATTGCAAATAAATGTGAACTAATGCTGAAAACTCATAGGCAGATCAAGAGCTTCAAATTGATAATGATCAAGTTAAGTCATTAGTCCAAAATTAAATGGAAATGAGAAGCCTTCCCTGAAAATAAATAAAAATCAAGACACTGAGGCCTACAGCAGTCTCACTACTAAGCTGCCCAAATGCAGTGATTACAAATAGTACAATGAAGGCAGGGCTATAATTTTTTCCCATATATTCTGGAGATAATAAACATTTATTAAAAAACAAATGGAACAGAAGATTAATCTTCCCCAAAATAATCACCCCAACATGCTTATAATCTGCTTCTTTTCTTAAATAAAGAGCTCTAGACTGCATAATTTAAAGACGTAATATTTAAAAAACTTAGATTTCAGATACATCACAAAGCATATTAATCATTTTCACATAATTCAAATTTAAATGCAGAAAAGCTATGCAAACTGCAGGCTACACCACATGGAATGCAATATTCAACTTTGGTACCTGAGGTGGCATTGTTTCCTAATTCACAGAGGTCACAAGACTCTCTGAAACCAAGACATGCCACCCACCTTCTTCAGTAAGCTTTGTAACGTGACCAAATTTAACTACTGCTCTTATTCAACACACATACAGCATCCAATTGCAAAGACGTTAGTTTTCAGAGCATAGGAGGAAAGAAAGAATAAAGCACAAAGCCAGCCCAAACAAATTGATTTGCTCAATAATTAATTTGCTATTAAAAGTATCAGCATTCTTACTTACGCATAAAATGTTTCTCAAACACAGACAAGTATGGATTAGACTAAAAAAATGAATTTCATTTTTAAAAATGCCGAAAAAGACAATTCAGACAACAGATACAGACAGAAAATAACACTGCATTTCCAAATTGCAAGTGAAATAAAAGAGGAGGGGAAAAAAACACAATAAAAAGATCTGAATTTAATTTGGCTAGGCATTACATGGTCAGCACTGACCAGCTATCCAGGACTTCAGTTAATGTTTACCTTCAAAGACAGCACTTCCAAGAGAACAGCTGATTTCACACCACCATGGGGCACTTGCCACTTACACTAACTACCATAATAATGTATTCTACATTCCCTTGGGCACTCATTTAATTTGTATAATTTGGTAATAACCCATGGCAGACAACCAAAGTGCTGCCCATTCAAGAAAGAAAGTACTGTGAGAGTGCAAGATGGTTATAAAATCCTGAAACTATCTGGAGTTATTATTTTTAGAACATAAATAAACAGGTAATATAGGAATGGCAATCTATCCAGACTTACTCTGGGATTCTTATAACAAATCAAATCAAGTTATGACTTCGCAACAATTATAAAAGTAGTTAGAAAAAGCCATCCTTGTGATCATTCTGCCCAGAACAACTCAGATTAGTAGTCAGGAACTCCAAGGGAGTTAAGTGCAAACATTACCCTGTGTAATTAAGATGGAAGGTCAGCCAGCTGAACAAAATTAAGTAGGACAATATCATTATCCAAACAAAACTCTGTAGAAACACATTTTCTACGTACTGAATTTGTTTACTTCTACATTAGATTATTTGAATTTGACTCTGCAAACCTTTCTTGTTCCATGACTCAGCTAAGGTTTCATTATCTTTACTTCCACCGGCCTCCAAGTCTCCTGAGGACTGCTTTATCAGATCCTTTACCCTCTTCTTCTTTTGAATGAGCTCCTGTTGTTTATCCATAAGCTCCTGAATCTGCATCTCCACTGCCTGAAGTTCATTTTCAATGGAAACCAGTACCTCCTCTAGCACTGAAAGGAAAAAGGTGAAGGCAGAATACAGATTACAGTCACATGCTAATCCCAGTTTTAAAGGATACTGTACTTCATTTGTTGATGAGAACAATCAAGATTAAACACAAACTAAAAGCATCATGAGAGACAGTCCACTGATGAGACTATAGCACCTAATATTCTAAATGCCATATGAAAATACTTAGCAAGGCTTAACAACGTATTTCTTTTATTCATAGGTCACCTATACACTTGTTTACTCTAAATTGTCACCTCTGATGAGGTGTATGAGATATGTGCAACACTATAATTATCTGCATTAATTAGTAGAGAAAAATATAATCACAATCCAGTTTCTCCTAAGTGGTGTCTCTCCAGAGAAACACTTGATGCACATTAAGAAGTGAAAACTATATTGCAAGCACCCATATCTCCCTTCTATGCAGAACCAGAGGATCTGCTTGAGCTTTAAGGTTTGAACACGGAGGACAAAAGCTTTTGGGAGCTCCAGCCATTCTTCAGATCTCAAAAAACTGAAGCAAACACTCGTGAAAAGCTTGGGTTACATAAGTGAATCTTTGGCAGGAATTTGCCTCTTTACATCCCTATATGAACCGTGTGAATTACGGATTGTGTTCTAGAATCTAGTCCCCAGGGTTTAAGAGATTAACACTTAACACAGCGTGCCAAGAGTGTATCAGTATTTCACAGCCAGGTCAGAAAACCACAAGAAAAAAAGTCTTCCTCCTCCCCTACACCCTGCAAAATAAGAGATTATGGTCTAAGCATAGCAGATATGATAATCTGCTTACAGGAGCAAGAACGTGTGATATGGAAAATAATATCCTCATTAAAAATGGCACAAAATGGGGACGTGTCCTCCTAAGTGCCTACTGTTACTCTGGAGGAAAGAGATGAAAATATCCTAAAAAGATTAAGTATATTTTCAAAATATAGAAAGCCAAGCAATTTCCTTGACAAACCTGCTTCTGTTTTAGATTTTTATCTAGGAAAGAAAAAGTTATCCAATAAAAAACCTTTTTCTTCTAATCTGAAGTATAATAACAGAGACCCCACAAAAACTCTTTTGTGTGCATTGAATTCATATAGATAACTATCAATAACACCAGATGATTGTGTATGTTAGCTAAAAGATAGGAAAATAAACACACTGAATACTAATTTTGGATTACCTTCAACAGCTGCCATCTTTAGAGATCAGAGAACGTTATCCTTAGGAGACCTTCATTAGCCAAGCAACTGTCACTAGAATAAATTAAAAAGACAAATTATTTCCTGAGTAGTTCTTCTAAACTCAAAACAAATTTACTGTAACAGGTTCCTCATTAATATAGGAGGTGTTATTTTAACACTTTTTCCTGTCTGCAAAAGGGACAGTATCAGCTCACAACCAATTCCTAAGGCTGTGACTCATCAGCCTCCTAAATGACACCAAGTTAATTCTGACAAAGTCATAAATTTTCTAGGAGAGGCATGGTCTAATATAGACAAATCATTCATCTACCTTCAGCTTATTTTTTTTTAATCTCTTCAAGGACTATTTCACTGAAAAGTCTGAACAAATTCTATCATGCCCCTTAGAAAAGTAGCCACTGTAACATCCAGAGGATCTTCTAGGAGGAAGCAGAAAGGTAGTTTGGTTCAGAGAAGGGGGATTGATTTGGCTAGCTCAGCAGTGAGATGAACTTAGAATTCTATTTATCAGTAATTTTTTTTTTTAACAACATTATTTGTTGTATTATATGCTAATAATACAAAACTTAAGAAACTTGATATTCTCTCACCCTTGTTGAATTCTGAGCTACTTAATACATACAGGGGAGCCAAATCTGAGGGAAGGTGAAAGGGAACAAATTCAGCAGACCCCCACTATATGCCAACCCTAACATAACAAATACATTACTGTGTTCCTGTAAATGGGTGGAGAACGTATATAAATATATATATAAAAGAATACATATATATAAATAGAATATATAGAAAATATATATAAAAGAACGTGTGAATAAATCACTGACTTTTGCCAGAAGAGGTTATAACTACAAGTAAGTTAAAGGCTCACATTTCTGAAATAAGTTGGTTACTGTATAAAATAATTCAGCAGTGTCTGGGTCACCCCCTTAAGCATGTTGCAGAGCTCTGTCTTTATGCCACCTGCCACTTGCACAAAAAGTATTTGGAACTGTTAGTCTCCCCAAAGTACACAGCAACTAGGGAGATCCAGAAAAATCAGTAGCTATGACACAGAGACAGTATAAACGCAATATGCTACTCCTGCTTCCCCTCTAAACATAATCCTCACACGTATCACTAAGCTGATGGCTCAGGAAACAAGACATTTTCTTATCCAAGGAGTGGGAAGAGAATGAAAAGTACCCATGAAAGTTTCCCAATCTGCTGCTGAAGCTCCATAAGTATTTAATTTAGCTCCTGTCTCTCAAAGAAGTAGCTCAGCACACCCTGTAACTGATTCTTTACCACCACTGCCAACAAGGACCCCCAGTTCCCACCTGGTTCCTCAAAAATGCATCTCCTAAGGAACTGAATAATGATGAACCCACAAACCACAGGGAACAAAAGGCAAGTGGAAGCATCTTGTACATTAGGGCAGTTTTACCCCACTGTAAAACCTGCTGAATTCCCGTGAATTCACCACACTGGAGCCTTTTCTCAACAGCCCACTAGTGGGAGAAAAAAAGAGGCCTCCGAGCACACGCATTAAAGCTCCAGGCCCCTAGACCATGGGTGGTGATAACTGAGAATTAGCAAATTAAGAACCCTCAGAATTAGGGAGCAAAACCACCAGTTATTGATCGAACGTCGCGTATCATCTTAGCAGGGACAAAAATCACCCACCCAGCCATAAAACCCAGAGAAGCCGCCTTAAATAAAATCATGAAGGAAAGAGAGAAAAGGCCAAACCGGCAGCAGGGAGACACACGGGCATCGGCTGCTCTCGTGTCCGTCCCCGCGGGCCGGACGGGGAGCGCCCGCCTCCCCCA